TATTCCACGGGCTGGGAACTGTGCTAAACATGTTGCACATACTACTGTATCCAATCAACAATGCCATCTCACCAATGATGAAACTGAGGCTCAAAGAAGTTAATTAACTTGCCCGTCCAAGCTCACCCAGCTGGTAGGTGGCAAAGTGTGAATTTGATCCACAGAAGACTGAACACCCAGACCTCCCTCTGAGCCACAAAGGCACATGGTCTTCACTAGGGGTAAGTGAGACCTAGGAGGCCTGGTCACATGGGGCAAATTATAGGGGGTGGGCGTGGCTGGGGGGGCATCTCTCTCCCTGTCAGAGAGCAAAGATGATGACACGGTTCATGGAAATAATGTCATCTGTGGCTGGTGGCTGGAAAGGTCCCAGCCAGTCTCCATCTAGGGCAAAATAGGGGCTTGAAAAATAGGAGCTTAAATACAAACTCCCAAAATTCAGAGGGGAGGACAAAATCATCAAGGTAACCTTGTGGAGAGGGCTTCCTTTTCTCTGAGGCTGACTGGACAAATTGCATCAAATGCTTTTGAGTCCTTCCAGATTTAAGATGGCGGTCATAGCCAGAAGCTTCTTTATTAAGGTAAAAGCAGGTGGCCTTGCATACAATAAGCAATACAGGGTAGACCCAGCGGCATAGCCAGGTTCAGTCCTCAGAGAGTCTCAGGTGTATCGAGAGGGGAGATGAAGGAGCCAGACAGAGCTGGTTCAAGTCTCTATCTGCATCTTCCTCACGTGTGACCTGGGCAGATTACTTAACCCTCTCTGAGCCTCAGCTTTCTCTTCTGTACATTGGGAGCAATGTATCCATTACAGGCCTTTCAAGAGGAATGGGAATAGGCGATGTGATGTGCCTGACATTGAACTGGTTCTCAACAGAGTACTGATGCTACTAGGACTCTGTGAATTTTGAACAAGGTCTCAAGTGGAACAATATTTTCATGGATGTCCGCCTGTACCATGCAGTACTTCCGAGAGCCTGGGTCCCCACTGCCCTGACAGAGAAGCCCTGATTGCTCCCCCTGCTGGTGCCGATTTGCTCAGGATTCTGTTCCCCTAGGAAATGTGACCTGTTATACAAAGCAAGGAATTCTTACCATAACTGAGTTCTTGACTGGCTTCCTCTCTTACATATCTAAGAAGGGCCCACATGAGAGGTGGTGGGGTGTGAGCAAGTTGGAGGAGATGGCTTGGTGGCTTCTTTTGGGTGCAGAGTTGTCACTGCCTGGAGGCAAAAGAGAGGACCTGGGCAGGACCTGATGATGCTGGAGCTCTTGCTGCGGAAGGTGAGTGGGTGTCAGGGGCCTGTGTGGGTCTTGACAAATGCAGCCTTTTGAGGACTATACTGGGTTGAATTGTGTCCCTGCAAAGTTCATGTTCTTCCCGGGACCTCAATGTCTGAGTATGAGCTAACGGTATAACGCCCACCAAACTGAAAGGTATCCTGAGACCAAAGAACGAAACAGGCAACTCCATGTGGTTTATAAGGAGTTTACTATTATTAGTATTATTATTTTTATTATTATTGTTATTTTGAGGGCGGTTAGTTATAGGCATTGGGCAGAGTGTCGATCCATTTGAGTGCTGTTTAGTGGGGAGAGTTGAGGCTTATAAGGGACTTAGAGACAAA